TTCTTCTTCTTCTTCTTCTTCTTCTTCTTCTTCTTCTTCTTCTTCTTCTTCTTCTTCTTCTTCTTCTTTTTCTTCTTCTTCTTCTTCTCCTCCTCCTTCTTCTTATTCTCTTTCACTCTCTCCCTCTTTCTCTACCTCTTTTCTCGCTCGCACTCTATGTTTCTGTCTCTGTCTCTGTCTCCGTCTCTGTCTCTCTCTGTCTCTCTGTCTCTCTGTCTCTCCATCTCTCTCTCTCTGTCTCCCCCCCCTCTCTCTCTCTCTCACCCCGCCTTTACTATAATTTCATTTTTTCGATAGATTTCAGTGTCAAGAAACGTCTCGGTTCCTGAAACGGTTGAACGTGAATTAAACCCTATCTTTTCAAAACATATAGCCAGGGGCTCTCGTGGCCTAGAGGTTTAGGTGTTCGCCTCTCATTCAAAGGTCCGCGAAGCGACAGAGCATTTTCTTCCCTAAAATTACTAAAATTGTCTCCTTTCACCTCACTTCCTGCGCTCTAGCAATGTTCTGTCGTCTGCTTTCGTCTACACTTTCTTCCCCCGTCCCCTTACCTTCTTTGCTTCCTCCGCTGGGCTCTTGACTCTTTCTGTAGCCTTTCTACAGCTACTCCTTGGCTTCTTCTTACCTAGCCTAATCGGACCAGGGTGAAAAATCTCGGAGGTCCTGTGTGCAAGTTGCGCACGTTAAAGATCTTTTAGTGGTATAAAATCAACAAAGGTAGGCCTCGGCGGCCACCTGGGCAAAATTCAAAATTTCCTACCTACTGAAATTGTTTGAAGCGCCGTAAAACACTTACCATCCCCCCCCCCAAAAAAAAACAAAAAAACAAAAAAACAAACACGGCCAAAAAAACCTGCAGCCATGCCTGACATAATAGTATGACTGTATGAGTACCTACCTAAGTGGTTCTTACTCCTCCTCATCTCTGTGACGTTGATGCTGCATGCCCCCGCCGGGATGGTGGTCACCACATTGTACCCGCGGTGGGTGAGGTGGGTGCGGGTGAAGATGGCAGAGATAGGTCGACAGGTAGATCCATCCCCGCCACACTTGCCACACTTGTCCACATCTGTGCCTGAGCCCAACACGCCGTCGCAGCCGGACTCCTGAGGACGGACAAGATACGGGATTTAAAAAAAAACCTATTTGAGATCCACATGGTGAAATCAGGCTCATGCCAACATAAGGAATTCGAAGAAATTGGGATTACAATTTATTTTCCGCGGTTTGTATTTATATTTTGGTTCTTTTTGTTGTTGCTCAGCATCGTTTATGTCCGTTTAAAAACACATTCATTTGTGGATTTTTACTGAAAGCGTTGATTAAAGGTACAGAAAAGTAAGATTTCAGTTTCCAATGACTCTCAAGCTATGGAACTCACTAAACTTTGGCGGCCATTTTCTCGATAATTCTACTTCTGAAACAAGGTGCCCCCCCCCCATCGAAGGAAAGACAAATGAGCAAGCTTTAAGATGATACCAGTAGCTCCTCATGCCTAAAAATTGACAAGCGCCTGGTTCCACCGTGTCGTGACACATTTAAGGACATACCGGACACTTAATAATACAATGTCCGATCAGCACACCAAAGCTAACATTTTGGCACATTTAAAACCATCAAACACGAATTAGAAACACACATGTACACAAAGTATGTATGCTGTTGCCTGCCTTTTTATGTTACAGACAAAGAAAGCGGAACTGAAAAAAAAATCTCAATGAATAAATAAGGTATAGGGCCTCCTTAAAAACGGCGCGTCTTCAAAGATTGTCCAATTACCAGAATGCGCGTCCTCAATGGGTTGATTTTGAAACAAGCATCGGTTTTTGGGAGCATTAAAGAGGTGTTATTTATTACTAGATTCGTGGTATTGATGTCCCCAACGTAAACGAACGGGGGCTGCATGGGCCCACTGTGGAACGCTGATCTTCAATGACAAGACATGCACAGTTCAACAAATGGGTGGGTACTTTTCGAGACTCACGCTGAGGTGTTTCGGCGGTCTTCGGAGGAAACCTACAAGCTTGCACAGAAATATGGGAACAGTGTGGTGTTTAATATACTAGCGCTCGTGGGGAGCGAGGTGGGGACTCAGATTGCTCATGTAATGGGGACACGCCGGCCATACCTATGACGGCGGAAGCCCCTATGTCTGACACGTGTGACGTCACTACTGCGAGCTCTAGTATTATAGATCTATAATATAACCTCTTTCGGTTGCAAAAAAAAGGGGAAAAAGGGGTGGGGGGTGGGGGTGGGCGTTGAGACGAGATAACGGACATATTTTTCCCACCCTCTGTTATCTTACGGTGTCGAGGGGGAAAAGCAGGCATGTTATTTCTCTTGTTTGTTGTGTCTCCTGTTGCATGATTGTATTACTGCTTTTGTCTAATGTTCCTCACATCCCCCTCTTTCATCTTTTCCTAGGCCAGCCTCTGTAACCACAACTTATAAAATAAGATCAAGAAAACTAACGGCAATAAGATAAGACAAACAGCAATGATATAGATGGATTTAAAGTTTTACTAGAAAGCTGAACCTGTCCAAGACGATCATCTATTGTCGCGGAGTAAAGTGGTCATCATAAACAGCAGGCCGTCTTGGCAGGTGTCATTATAAGTAGAAAAAAACAACAAATAAAAAACACAACAACAATTCCCTCCTTTCTAAAAACATACAAATGAACAAACAATCAACAACAGTCAAAGCAACCTAAACACACACACACACACACACACA